CTGCATCCGGCGCCGCCGCGGCCGCCTAGTCGCGCGCGTTAGCCGTCGGTAATTTGCATCGCCACCAGAAATTATCCTTGCGAAGGACCCAACCATATGCAAACGTGAATACCGCAGGGCAGGTGGGACGAAGCAAAAGGAATTCCCAATATGGCCACGAACCGTGTGAGGGGTGCGCCACGCTGGGGCGGGGCCGCCATGCGAACCCTGCCACTGAGGCCTTCGGTGGGGCTCCCTATGTCCCTACGGGGCCACGAACCGTGTGAGGGGTGCGCCAAAATGGGGCGGGGCCGCCATGCGAACCCTGCCACTGAGGCCTTCGGTGGAGCTCCCTATGGGGCCCACGAACCGTGTGAGGGGTGCGCCAAAATGGGGCGGGGCCGCCATGCGAACCCTGCCACTGGGGCCTTCGGTGGAGCTCCCTATGGGGCCACGAACCGTGTGAGGGGTGCGCCAAAATGGGGCGGGGCCGCCATGCGAACCCTGCCACTGGGGCCTTCGGTGGAGCTCCCTATGGGGCCACGAACCGTGTGAGGGGTGCGCCAAAATGGGCGGGGCCGCCATGCGAACCCTGCCACTGGGGCCTTCGAGGAGGCCTATGGGGCCACGAACCGTGTGAGGGGTGCGCCAAAATGAGGCGGGGCCGCCATGCGAACCCTGCCACTGAGGCCTTTAGTGGAGCTCCCTATGGGGCCACGAACCGTATGAGGGGTGCGCCAAAATGGGCGGGGCCGCCATGCGAACCCTGCCACTGGGGCCTTCGGTGAAGCTCCCGATGGGGCCACGAACTGTGTGAGGGGTGCGCCAAAATGGGGCTGGGCCGCCATGCGAACCCTGCCACTGGGGGCTTCGGTGGAGCTCCCTATGGGGCCACGAACCGTGTGATGGGTGTGCCGAAATAGAAGCATGCGGAGGGTGATGGTGATGATGACGACCATGTTGGTGCTGATGATGATGACGATGACGATGATGATGATGGTGGGTGATGACGATGATGATGATGATGAGACGAGGAGGGAGGAGGCAGCGGGAGGAGGAGGAAGGAGGAACGAACGCGGGGCACCGTCTCTTCAAAACGAGGACCCAACACCACAGGATGGTTGGGAATGATTACTCCGATCCTCGTGAGGGGTGTGCCGACATGGGGCGGGGTCGTCATGCGAACCTTGCCACTGGCGCCTTCGGTGAAGCTCCCTATGAGGTCACGAGCCGTGTGAGGGGTGTGCCGAAAAAGGGCGGGGCCGCCAAGCGAACCCTGCCACTGGCGCCTTCGGTGGAGCTTCCTATGGGGCCACGATTCTCGTGAGGGGTGCGCCGACATGGGGCGGGGCCGCCATGCGAACCCTGCCACTGGCGCCCTCGGTGGAGCTCCCCACAGGGCCACGATCCTCGTGAGGGGTGCGCCGACATGGGGCGGGGTCGCCATGCGAACCCTGCCACTGGGGCCTTCGGTGGAGCTCCCTATGGGGCCGCGATCCTCGTGCGGGGTGCGCCAGATTGGGGCGGGGCCGCCATGCGAAGCCTGCCACTGGGGCCCTCGGTTGAACCCCCTATGGGGCCGCGAACCGCGTGAGGGGTGCGCCAGAATGGGGCGGGGCCGCCATGCGAACGCAGCCACTGGGGCCTTCGGTGGAGCTCCCTATGGGGCCACGAACCGTGTGAGGGGTGCGCCAGAATGGGGCGGGGCCGCCATGCGAACGCAGCCACTGGGGCCTTCGGTGGAGCTCCCTATGGGGCCACGAACCGTGTGAGGGGTGCGCCAGAATGGGGCGGGGCCGCCATGCGAACGCAGCCACTGGGGCCTTCGGTGGAGCTCCCTATGGGGCCACGAACCGTGTGAGGGGCCAGCGGGGCCGCCATGCGAATGGTGGCTCCCTATGGGGCCACGAACAATTGCGAAGGGGCGGGGCCTTGCGAACGCAGCCACTGGGGCCTTCGGTGGAGCTCCCTATGGGGCCACGAACCGTGTGAGGGGTGCGCCAGAATGGGGCGGGGCCGCCATGCGAACGCAGCCACTGGGGCCTTCGGTGGAGCTCCCTATGGGGCCACGAACCGTGTGAGGGGTGCGCCAGAATGGGGCGGGGCCGCCATGCGAACGCAGCCACTGGGGCCTTCGGTGGAGCTCCCTATGGGGCCACGAACCGTGTGAGGGGTGCGCCAGAATGGGGCGGGGCCGCCATGCGAACGCAGCCACTGGGGCCTTCGGTGGAGCTCCCTATGGGGCCACGAACCGTGTGAGGGGTGCGCCAGAATGGGGCGGGGCCGCCATGCGAACACCACAGGATGGTTGGAAACTAATGGCCATGGCGATGATGATGACGATGATGATGCTATGATGATGATGATGATGATGATGATGATGATGATGATGATGATATGATGATGATGATGATGATGATGATGATGATATGATGATGATGATGATGATGATGATGATGATGATGATGATGATGATGATGATGATGATGATGATGATGATGATGATGATGACGATGATGGGAGAAGAGAGGAGGGCAGCGGGAGGTGAGACGCGGGGCGCTGCCTCTTCAAAACGAGGACCCAACACCACAGGATGGTTGGGAAAAAAACATCCCCACTAGCCCGTCCAGAAACGACGCCCAGGCGAGTAGAGGGTCGTCCTGAGGGGCTTTTCGGCGTCTTGGGTGCCTCGGGGGGGCCTCTGTGGGCCGTTCGGGATCCTCTTTGGGGCCTCCTGGGGGCCTCTTGGGGCCTCTTGGGGCCATCTTGCGGCCTTTGGGGGCCTCCTGGGCGCTTCTTGGGGCCATCTTTGCCCCCTTCAGGAGACCAAAATGGGGCCAACATCTTACTAAAATCAATGATGTTGGCTTCCTCGCCGAGGCCTTTTTGGACGCTCTGACCGCTCGCGGCCCCCCCCGTCCAGGTCCACGGGGAGGGGGTAGGGGGAGGGGTAAACCCCTTCCCGAAGGGAAAGAGGGAGGGGTGGAAGAGGAAACGCCTTAAACCACCGACGCCCAGAGGGCTGGTGGGATTGCCTCGATCAGGGAAGTGGACAGCACACAGAGGAAGCCAGTATGAGACATCTTGGGATTTCTTGAGCCATCTTGGAGGTCATTTTGGGCTCTCCGAGGCGCTCTTGGAGTCATCTTAATCAGTGCCCCCCCCCCAAGAGGCCAACATGTGGCTAAAACCTTAGTGCAAACAATGGTTTGACATTATCGCCGAGGCCTCGGGGAGCACCTTGGGTGCCTCTAGGGGGTCTATTGGGGCCTCTTGGGGGCCTCCTGGGGGCCTCTTGGGGGGCCTCTTGGGGCCATCTTGGGGCCATCCTGCGGCCTCTTGGGGCATCCTGGGGGCCTTTTGCGGCCATCGTGGAGGAAATCGATCAAAGAAGAGGGGAGCGTTAATTAGCGTTGCCCCCTCAGAAGGCCAAAATGGGGCCCAAACCATAGTAAAATCAATGATTTGGGCTTCCTCGCCGAGGCCGTCTTGGACGCTCTGACCGCTCCCCGCCCCTCCTGTCCAGGTCAGTGGGGAGGGGGTAGGGGGAGGGGTAAACCCTTCCCCGAAGGGGAAGAGGGAGGGGTGGAAGAGGAAACGCCCGAAACCACCGACGCCCAGAGGGCTGGTGGGATTTTGGGCGAATCGTAACACATACTCAACAAAACACCCCCACATGGTCAGAACATATTCAAAACATATTCCCCTGATATTGTATTTGTTTTTCTTGTATATATATATATATATATATATATATATATATATATATGTGTACGTTGTACATATATATATATATATATATATTCCTCCTGTGGAGGGACATGCCCGATTTGAAGCCAGGGGCAACGTCAGGGGGTGCGGGGCGCCCTGAAGGGGGGGGGGGGCGCACGGAGCCCCACCCGCGCGAGGGGCCCAGGGAGCACACGCCCCGCCTCCGCAGCCGGTTTCAAGCAGTGGCGGGGCGCTTTGGCTCGCCTATGGTCGGGTGTTGCCAGAAGTGCACACGGCTCATTTCTCATTCTTCGAAAGGTCTTTGATTTCTTTGGGGGGCCAGGATCCTTTCATTTCTGATTCTTCTGTCCTGGGCCTCTTCCTGGCCACTAGGGGGCCAGGAACAGTTAGAAACGAGCGCAATTCGAAATGAGCACGATTAGAAATGAACCACGTGTACCCCTGGCCCAGGGTGCCCCCAGCCTTTCGCTCCATTTCGGGGCCCCTGGGGCCCTCTGGGCCCTGCGAGGGGTCCTCTGGATGCCGTCTGGGCCACCCCGAGAATCCTGGGGGTACCTTGGGCCAGGGGTACTTCTAGCAACACCCGATATGGGCCCACCGAAGAATGTCCTCAGAACCGCTTGTGGTTTGCGCGAAATGTCCTACGCTGAGTCTGCGTTGCCTAACACATCGGGTCCAGGTTCTAGGAGTTTCTTTTGTGATTCGAACATCTTTGGGGTTCTAGGAACATCTATCAGGAGGGACAGAAAGACACAGACACGATTCATCGTCGACTCCCAGGGAAATATGGGGACATTTGGGAAGTGCGTGGGCAGACGAAAACCCAGAAAGCATTGGAACATATGGGGAATCCTGGGATTTGTGTGTATTTATTTGTGTCCCTTGGCCCCTTCGATTTTGGCTCAAGACGCTCTGGCTCCCACTGGGCGGCCGCCCGAGGCGCCCGTGCACGCAGCAGAGCGCAATGCACAGCGCGCAGCGGGGAGAGTGCCCTCGCTCGCCGCAGAAGGATGAAGTCGGGCCTGTCCCTCTACAGGGGGGGAAGCCAAAAATCGTAAAACATAGTCTGGGAGCGATTTTGTTCGGCACGGTTGGGCATGTTTATTTGTTTGTTTTGATTATCTTTCATGCTTCACCCAAAATCCCCCTGTAGGGGGACAGGCCCGACCTCACAGAAGGACCGAGGCAACAAGATCCCCAGGGGCGCGCTGACCCCCGACGCCCAAGAGCTGCGCAGGCTCGTGCGGCAAGACACGGAGGAGTGCCTGCGATGCATCGTGGGCGAGGCGATGCAGGACCTCCGCCAAGACATGCGCGAGTGGCTGCCTCGCGCGCTGAGCCTCGATGAAGAGACGAAGTCACACACGCTGCGCCCCGGCGATGTGAATGACCACGGCGCGCCGGGTAGGGATGTCTCGCCGGAGGAGATCAAGCAGCTGAACCGGATACAAAGCTACGATCTACCCGATGGCAATTCCGCGCCCAATCTCAGGCTCCGCGAAGTGACTGCAGCCCCGGAGGAAGCGCAGGACCAGATCCCCTCGGAGGTGGCAAACCGCATCGAGGTCACGGGTACGGGCACCATCACCTCCAACATTGTGGCGATGGATCCTCCTGGAAGCCAAGAGGACGATAATCTGGAGAATCGAGCCGTCTACTGGGAGTGGGAGCGTTCCAACGACATGGGCTGGAAATCTTACCCTGCTTTCCAGTCAGAGAAAATCGAGAAAGCGTGGCAGTCTGGGGTCTCAAGGGTCAGGGTGCGCAGCGGTTGCGACGGCAGGACGCCGATGGAGATATTTTTCGTGGACATGCTTCAGCTTGACCCCGAATCGGAGAATTTGAGGCGGATACGCCGAGTGGGGAAGGCGCCATGGTACATGACATCCAGAAGGTTCTGGAGGTCCGTCAGCCATTCATGGGAGACCGGCGAGCCCCTCTGGGAGAATTTGCACCAGTACAGGTATCGCCAATCGTCTTTGCCAACGGCGGAGAAGATGTTTCAAAAGCCGAGCAGCAGAAGTCTCGGTTCTTCACGGACCAATTCACAGCCAGCTGTTACCAGTTCCCCTGTGCAGCGCCGTCTGCGCAGGCTTGTCACGTCGAGTTCATGCATTTCTTTCTTCAACCTCTCAAATCTGATAACCTTATCTTGGTGCGTGTGGTTCGGGATCGACGTGCAGCGCTACCCTGACGGCACATCCTTGTACGAGAAGGAAGCACTGTTCACGACCATTGAGCTCTGTTTCAACGTGTTCTTCTTGGTTGAGTTGGTCATCCGAGTTGGGGCTTGCGTGTCATTTTTGGAGTGTTTCAGGGACGTGTGGATATGCATCGATGCGCTCTGCGTGATAGGGTCTCTTGCCGATGTGCTCATCTTGCCAATAGCCGCCACCTTGAAGCTTCATGAAGTAGGCAACAGCCAACTGGTTGCCTTCCGTTCGGTGCGGTTGTTCAAGCTTCTCAGGATCGCCCGTCTCAGCAGGGCCTCTGTGGACATGGATATTTTCTGTAAGGGGATTTGGTCTGGATTGAGAGAATCCTCCGTCGTCTGGACAATTCTCATATTTTTAGTGTTCACCTTCAGTGTCATGCTGACGACGTTCGGCTCTCCAGAAATGCGAGAGACGAGATTTAGTAGTTTGCTGAGCTCAATGCACATTCTGTTACATTCGGGTGTCATGCTCGACGGCGTGGCAGACGTGATGGATGACCTGGTGAGGTCAAGAGACGCGGCCGGCTACATTATATTCCTCGTATTCGTTATCGTATCGCAGTACATAATCCTCAACATGTTGATCGGGGTCCTGAGCTCAGTCGCCGGGGACGTAAGAGGAGAAGAGAAGGCGCGCGCCAGCATTGCTTACCTGCGCCACAACTTGAAGAACCTACTGGAGTGCTACATACACGATGATGGGATGATTTCAAGGCCCGAGTTCCGTCTGATCATAACGAACGCAGACGTTCATAGGATTATGTCTCAATTTGGCGCAGATCTAGAGCATCTGGCATCGATGGAAAAATCCTTGTTTGCAAAAGGCGACTACATAGACTTCGATACGATGTTCGACACCATATCGCATTTGAACCAGGGGAAAATCTCCACTGTCTGGGATATTTTTCACGCGCAGGACGCGCTGCAGCGGAAACTGGACTCCATCGACATGAAGCTGTCCGCAGCTGGCTTCCACGGCGTGCCGTGAACGCAACGCGACGGCTACGCAAGGGGCAGGTGTGAGGCAGGCCGCGCAGCCATGAGGCACGCCTTGTCCTGCTGCAAGTGGCGCCTCTTCAAAGCCAGCACCACCGGCTGGCCGAGGGTTCGCCTCGCTTTCGCTTGTCCACGTCGGTTTTTTATCTCAATTCCGTTTCGCCCGCTCTGCCCCCACGTGTAGGCGACATTTCAGGAGCGAGGAGGTTTTCAGATTCAATGTGCGAAGCCTTCGCTGCTTCCGAGAAGTGGCCAGCATAGCGCACTAGTTCACAAGTCGTTGTCACTAGGCTGGCGCAGATGCTGGCAATTCAGCGCGGACAGCTCGTTTCGTCTGGAGAGGATGGCCCGGATGCCAGACGGCCGCGACGTCTATTGTTACGTTTTCGCCCCGAGAATTTCCCCACATCCCAAGTGGTTTCTGTCCTCTCTGGAAACTCCCGCGCAGGAACAGGAACATCGGGAGGAGATGAAAAAACACACACACACACACCGCCCATGAACGAGGGTACTTGCTATCGGGGGCACGTTGCCAAGCTATCGGCGGGCAAGGTTAGGAGAGTATAGGTTCAGGGGGGGAGTCCCGACGCCCAATCGCCCACTCATCGCCGATAGGGGCATGAGAGCCCCTCCCGCCCAGTAGCGCGCGGCTTCGCTGTTGGGAGCCTATCGCCGATCTATCGGCGATGTGTCGCCGATTCCAGGTCGATGCGTCCCCCTCCTGCGCCGGTCTCCCCCTTATCGTTCCCCTTTCAGCTTTCTCTTGTGAGTTTTTCGGGGGATGGGCTGGCTTCCAGCAGCAGCTACGCCTCGTCGACGGCGTCCCAGGGGTACCCGAGTCGTGCCCAAGGGCCACCAGAGGCCCGAGCGGTGGCCCGAAGGCAAGACCTCCTCGCGACGTGACGGCATCACGGCGCTGGGAGCCGGGATGAGACACTGTCGGCCACGCGCGGAGGGGGATGGGGGGAGGGCTTCTTAGAAGCACCCCTGCTTCTTAGAAGGCGCGGGCCTTCTTTGTAGATGTAAGGCCGCCGCCTTCTAAGAAGCAGCCTCCTTCTAAGAAACCCTCCCCCCTCCCCCCACCCCCTTGTGCGCGTCGCCAACATTGGTCTCGGGTCGGGAGCCTTGAGACGGGGGTCAGTGCAGACGGGGGTCAGCCAGGGCACCAGATCCTGCAGGATTTTGTAGAGACCCCCTCTGGCCGACCCGGGTTCGCGTGCCGCTCGTGGCCGCGAGGTGGCCGCGCCTATTGGCTGACCCGGGTTTGCGAGGACCTGCGTTGCAGGTTTTGCTTTCCTGCACTGCAGTTCTTTGATTTCCTGCTGACCCGGGTCTGGATGGACCCGGGTCAGAAGATCCCCGATCGAGGAAGCTTTCTCCTATGGGTTTGTTGGGCCGCCGGTCGGGTCGGGCCGCCGCGGGCGCACGCCGCGGGCATGCTCGCGGCCGTCGGGCGGAGTGCGGGCCGTGCTCTCGCACCGCGCACGCCAGGGGGGCCCACGCGCGCAGGCAGGCGCCGGCACAGTCACGCGCGGGCCGTCATGTCACGGTGAATTCGTGAAGGAATCTGCCCAGGAGGCTTCAGACCCTGGAGGGCTCCTCATTTAAGCAGGGCGGCGGTGAGACTCGTCCGTGGCCGAGCGTCGATCGGCGCTCCTCCAGCTTTCAGACCCTGGCGTCCTTGTGTCCAGAGGTTCCTTATCCAGTGCCCTCGCCGAAGGTGGGGAGAGCTCGTCTCCAGATCTCGGGCATGGGCGTTTGCTTCGCGTTCCCCACCACCGGTTCTGTTCCACCACGTTTACGGTCACGAGCGTTTGCTTACGGTAGGTTCATGCGGCATTGGCGCGCAAGCGACGCCTGCGACGGCGTTCAAGGCTTTATTCTGCGACGCGAAAGCACCGATGGATATGGTAGCGCTACTGGACCATATTGAATTCAACCTTGCACCTTGAACGATCGACGCTGTGTCAAAAATTCTGCCAGCCGGCGCCGCACGAACCGACCGTAGCGTGTCGCGCTGCCGGTTCTGGCCCACCACGCTTTCGGTCAGGAACTTGAGCTCAGCGTGTCGCGACGCCAGTTCTGGCCTACCACGCTGCGGCGCGACACGCTAACGTCCCGAGCTCTTCACAGACGCCCGCCGCGAGGAGCGGAACGACCAGCTACCAGCGCGAAGGGCACAGCGTGTCGTTGGGACCGCCGCCGCGACACGCTGCGCAAAAGCTCCTGGCCGTATGCTTGCCTGAGGGGCCCGTGCCTTTGGTGATGGGGAGTCGTGCGGGTGCTGGTCCTCCCAGGCAGGGCCTGTTCCCTGCGACTGTTGGGCGCCGATCTGAGCTTTGACTCATCCTATGCTGCGTTACGCAATGACGTCAGAGGAGCAAGAAGTCAGGATCATCATAGGTTCCAAGATGTTTCAGGTCTCGTTGGAGGATGTTCCCGGATTGGTGAAACGCATTCTGAGCCAATCGCATCATGGCAGTAGTTCTCATCCTAGAAAAGTGACTGCACCCAACTCGGGTCGCGCGGCATTCGCTGCTGCATGTCGGAACTAGGGCAGGCGGCATCATCATTTAAATCCAGCAGGCCCAAAAAAACACAGACTTACACAGACATACACACACACACACACTACACACGCTACACTACACACACACACACACTACACACACTACATACACTACACACACTACACACACTACACACAACACACAACACACGCCTTTGGCGCCGCTGCCACGCGCGCAGCGACGCGGCGGAGCCAGGCGGAGAGCCTAAGAGGGTCCACACACGTACGCACGCTTGCGCAATTGGTTGAAGACGCCTACGGCGAACCACCCCGGCCCGAGGGCCGAGGTTTGACGGTGTGAGTTCGTTGGCGTGCAGCGTCGAAGCTCGAAGCTCGCAGGGCTGCCATGGCCGCTCGATGCCACACGATGTCCCAGCCGCAGGGGTCCCCTCTGAGCCCCGTCCTCCTCCTCCTCCTCCTCCTCCTCCTCGTCCTCCTCCTCCGCCTCCTCCTCCTCGTCCTCCTCCTCCTCCTCATCCTCCTCCGCCTCCTCCTCCTCCGACGTCGGAGCCCGTTCGGCCCCCGAGCGAGCAGCCGCACGCACTCAGTTCCAACAGGGTCGCGGGAACTGAGCCCGCTCGGCCGCCCAATCGGCTTCGGCGCCCAATCGGCTTCGGCGCCCAATCGGGAACAGAGCGATCTTGAGCCCGTTCGGCGCCCGAGCGGGCTCAGAAAGCTGACCTCGGCGGAGGGACGGCGAGGTCTGGCAGGGCGAAGACGGTGCACGTGATTCCGAGAGCACGAGACGAGCTCTCGAGCCAAGCGCTCCAATCATCGTCAGAAGCATCGACTTATCAGCAGGTGCGCCGCCGTCTGCATTGCCTCCCCGGCCATGCTCTGGTTCATGCGTTCGATTATGTGATTTAGCCCACTTGGCCCGTGCGGCGCCCGTGACGAGCAACATCCGCAGTGGCAAGCCCAGACGCTCTTCGCGGTGCGCCCGCAGTCCAAAGTGCAGCCTGGGGTGGTTGTGAGGCTCCTTGGGAGCCGCGAGGAGGCCTTTCGACTCGCTCCTTTCTTCTCTTCGAGTCCAGGGGGGGGGTCGACGCACACCGCGAACAGCTTCGCGGGGCCCTCCGAACACGGACCCTTTCCTCAAAGGGCAAGAAGGGTACTCTCACGATTTGCACGCCCTCAGCCAGTTCCGCTGCCCCTTCGGCGCCGCCTCCCCCTCCACCATCCCCTCGGCCTTCTGCTCCCCCTCGTCCTCCCCCTCTCGCTTCCCCTCATTTCCTTCCCTCCCGCGCCATCTCAGGCCTGAGATCACTGCTCACTGTTCCTTCGGCGTCGCCCGTGAGATAGGTAAGGACAATTTGTGCTGGGTCTACGATCGCAGGCGTTGAGCGGCACGCTGGCCAAAAAAACAGCGGCTCCCAGTGTGGAGTGGATGTGGCGACCGCTCGTGGGTAGAGAGGACGGACTTCTCCGAAGTTGTCGGTGCCTGCGTCCATAGCTATCCGGAATGCTGTGCAGGGAGGACCCCCGCCCATGGTCTCCAGCCTTCACTTGCCAGGCCACGCCGCAAGACCGGAGAGATCGTTGAGACGGCAAGCTTATCTTCGTACATGTCTCTCTCTCCCTCTCTCTCTCGTTCTCTGTCTGTAATATTGATCGAACTGCCCGACTTTCAGCCCGACGCAGCATGGCCGCCGCAACCGCTTCCTGCTCCTCCTCCTCCTCCTCCTCCTCCTCCTCCTCCTCCGCCTCCTCCTCCTCCTGTTTTTGCCGCCTCCTCATCCTCCTCCTTCTCCTTCTCGCCTCCTCCTCCTCCTGCTCCTCCTCGCCGTTCCCCCCTCCGCCTCGCCTCCTCCTCCTCCTCCTCCCCTCCTCCTCCTCCTTCTCCTCTCTCCTCCTCCGCTGATCCTCCTCCCTCGTCCTTCTCCTCCTCCTCCTCCTCCTCCTCCTCCTCCTCCTCCTCCTCCTCCTCCTCCCCCTCCTCCCCCTCCTCCTCCTCCTCCTCCTCCCCCTCCCCCTACTCATTATCCTTCTCCTTCTCGCATCCGCCTCCTCCTCCTCTTCAAGCGGGGCTGCAGCTGGCCACCGCGAGCAGGGAGCCGCCGACGCCAAGATGGCCGTTGGCAAAGCGTACGGCCTGCCAGAGGACACACTGGAGAAGCTGCCCGCGATGTCGCAGGGGGTGATCGCGAAGATCATGCCAGTCTTGGTCAAGGCAGTGCTGGGCAATACGTTCATGATCAGGCAGATGCTCGCGGCGGCCTTCCAGACGGTGATTCTCGACGAGGGTTCGGACCTAGTGAAGGAGTGCCTATGCGACTCGAGCGGCAGCGATGCGAGAGGCGTGGAAGCTCGACAATGCCAAGCCGCTGCCAGAGGCGGAGATGGGGCCTGCGCACATTCAAGTGTTCCTCGTGGCCTGCGACGTGCTCACGAAGGCGGGCGAGAGAGTAGGAGCTCGCAACAAGGCGCTGTGGGACGCGCAGAAGACGAAAATAGAGCAGGTCACCAACATGGCAGACATGAGTCTCCTTGTACGGGGGTTTCGAGTCAGTTCGTGCTACAAGGAAGGGAAAGCCAAGCTAGTGTTCGCGCTTGCCGACGTGGAGCTCACCAAGGTCTTCACCGAATGCGTGATCCAGCTCGGAGGCGAAGTCAAAGCAGGAGTGGCGCCGAGGTCGAATGTGGAGAGGATTTTGCAGATGGCGATCTACGAGTGGGAAGACAGCCAGTAAAGGACGTTAGAACGCAAGTCCGAGGATTGGCCCCCTCGGCTCCCCCAAGCGGGGAATATCCCAGGGCTGGCCTCCTGGGTGTGTCGTCGCCACAGCTTTGCCAGAGCGTGAGAACGCAAGTCCGAGACCTGGCCCCCTCGGCTCCTCCAAGTGAGGAATACCCCAGATTTGGCCGGCTGGGTTCGTCGCCGCAGCTCGACATGCCGAGCCGCACGTGCTCGTCCCTCCCTCCTCGGCAACGGCAGATGAATGTGGTTGGGAATTCTCACTGCAGCACTGGGGCTGATTTTGGAGCGAGCGTCTTGGCAGGGGCGACAGGTTCCCGCCCCCGAGTGGCGTCGACCAGTGGTGGGGTTCAGTTGTTTCAGACGTCGGAGACGATTTCGCGTTCGAGTGTGGGTGGGTCTCTTCAAACGTCGGCGTCGATGTCGCGGTTGAATGTGGTTGATGCCCCTGGAGCGGGCATGCTCCACACGGACAGCAACACCAGCTCCAGGGGCACGTTCTGAGGGGAAGGCGATGTTCCAGGCACCGTCTCCCGCTGCCGCCACCCATGGCCCGCTTGACCCTCTTCGCCCTCCCCCTCCGCCTCCGCGTGCGCAACAGAAGCAGTACAGTTTCAAAGAGCTGGTGAAAATGGCCACGGGTCCCCCCAGGTAGTTTGTTTTTTTTCTCGGGCCCTTGTTGGGGCCCGTCGGCTTTCCTGAGACCCTGGCCGTAATTTTCTTCGCTGTCAGTCTTGGTAGAGCGATTAATCTGTCGGGGCTCCCGCTGCGGGGGGCCTTCACACGTGGTATATACTGCGCACGGTAGGTCACACAATTCGAAATTCGTGTTCGATTGCTGTTTAGTCGGGGATCCTTCGACTCGGCCCGTCACCGCTTCGCCGCCGCCGCCTGCTTCTCCTCCTTCTCCTCCGCCTCCTCCTTCTCCACTTTCTCCCCCTCCTCTTCCTCCCCCTCCTCCTCCTCCTCCTCCTTCTCCTCCTTCATTTCGCCGTTTCCCTTTCGTCGTCCTCCTCCTCCTGCTCCCTTTCCTCCTCCTTCCTTCCCTCCTTCTCCTTCTGCTCCCCATCCTCCTCCTCCTCTTCCTTCCCCTCCTCCTCCTCCTCCTCCTCCTCCTCCTCCTCCTGCTCCTCCTCCCCCTCCTCCTCCGCCTTCTCCTCCTCCTCATCCCCCTCCTCCTCGTCCTCCTCCTCCTCTTCCTCCTCCTCCTCCTCCTTCTCCTCGTCCTCATCCGCCTCTTCATTGTAGTCTTCCTCCTCCTCCTCCTCCTGCCTGTCTTCCTCCTCCTTCTCTTTTCCCTCCTCATCCTCCTCCGCCTCCTCCTCGGCTGTTGGACGGGCCCCAGCCCACGGCGGGGGCCCCCGCGGACTTCCCAGCAGAGCTGAAGATTGGGGAGAAGGACGGAACGCGCTCATAGATCATCTCGGGGGCGCCCGAGTGGGGTGTGAGCGCGAGGGGGGCCCTCATGGCCGGAGCACCGAAATCTTCCCGATGCCACGGCCCGCTTTTTTTCAGGGCGCCCCCTGGCCCCCAGTCGTCCGTGCACATGCCTCGGGCCGTGATGCGCGCACCCTGTGTCCCGAAAAAGTCGAATCTGGTGGTGTTTTGTCGTTTTTTCGGGGGGGGGGGGGGGGGGGGGGGGCGCCATACCAGCTCCCGGGACCCTCGAAAAACGACTCTGGATATAGAGTGAAGTCGGGCGTGTTCCCTTACAGGGGGAATCTTCAAACATGGTAGAACAAACAGTCTGGAGACGATGTTTCTATGATCTTTGCCCATTTCCGAATATGGTTTGGCTATGTTTCATTGTTCGTCCAAGATCCGCCTGTAGCAGGTCATGCTCGACCTGAATATAGAGTCGGTCCCAGGGAACAGGGGATCGATCCAGCCCTCCGGAGGGTGGAGGGGTGCGTTGCGAAGCAACATTGTGGTGCAGGATTCTGGGCACGGCAGGTTTGCGCCTCGTTGACGCGGCGGTGACACCAGCGCTGGTGTTCAAGGTGGAATTCTAGACGCCCAGAGGGCTGGTGGAAACTCACCAGCTGTCTGAACTCGGCCAGGATTGAACGATCCCGACTGTCGGAAGGTGTCGAGTGCTCAGGGATGGACGACCCACGCGGTGTCAGAAAACCAGCACCCACGTCGTCGTGACGCGAGAGTCAAGAAAACGGGACGTGTGGGGAGGGCGATGTGAAGGAAAGGAAGGAGGAGGAGCAGAAGGAGGAGAGTATGTGGATTAAGTTTGAAAGTGTTTCTTTCCACCCTTGAGGACTATGGTACCGTTGTGGCCAAAACGTGCGAGGTGCAGTTCGACTACTTCAGATGGCAGGCGCCCGTCTCTGGACTGGCTGGCTGGCTGGCTGCATGAGATGCTATTCTGGATTCCAAGTAAGTGTTGCTTGGAACACCTTTTTCTTCTGCACAGGTTAGCATGGTTCAAGGGTGGACCTCAAGCAGCGAATCAATGCAACATATCCGTTGCAGCGCTAGGCAATGAGACGCAATTCGACGAACCGCGCAGCAATACATCGCAGCATTTGCCCTGCACTGCCTTGCACTGCAGTGCATGCCGTGGTGCTGCGTGGAGCTGCCTTGCTTTTTTTCCCTTGTGCGAGCGCTTGGACGCAGAGCAGTGGCAGCACGGAGCGGGGGCGGGAGCCGAGCGAGGACGAGGCCGCGACGGGCGGCAGCGAGCCGCACACCAGAACCGGCAGCCGGCAACCGGGGCAGAAGCCAGGCGGAAGCCGAGGCCAGGCCGCCGCGACCAAGGGAGACGACGAACCCAAACTTGCAGACCCCGCACCCAGTTCCTGAGGCTTAGCATCGCTCGGACGTGTGCATGTTTACTTCGGCGAGGAGGACCATCGAGGAGCATCCTTGATCATTTGGCGAAAAAACCTCGCCCAAAACCGAAAAAAAAACACAGGGAATGGACGTCCGAGCGATGGCGAGGAGGAGGCACGAACACATTCGTTGGTGCAGTCACTGTTTTGGAAAGGCGGTGTCGCTCATGCTCGCATCGTGTCAGGACGTGGGCGTTTCCTTCATCAGCTGGCCGGGAGAGGGAGAGGCGGCGGCAAAATACTGTCTGCCAGTCGCTCCGCGCGGATATCGTCAAGAAGTACATTAGTGGCAAAGTGAAGCAGAAGCAGGTGTGGGATGCGCTGGACACGTCGAGAGATCAAATTATCAAGTTGGGTATATCAGACATTGCGACATTTATGATGCACTGGGTAAGTACGTTTCTGCAGGCGCTGTTCAACACAGGAGCTTTCCCCACCCACATCATCGATGAGACGACCGCCGTCGCCCTCTTCGATGACATTGCACGTGAGCTCTTTTGAGCTTTGTTCCGCCCTTTGCTCGATCCCCCCCGCCTCAGCGATTCCTGTCACAGGCTGGCAACATCCGCATCCACGGCCTAGCCATCCGGGCCCCTGTGCTGCGACCCCGCGGCTGCCCCGCGCGGAACGTATCCATTCGACCGTGTATCCACGGAGTTGTGCCCCACAAGCCAGAGCCAAACGGCGTGGATATGGATACGTTCGCCGCTCGAGATCCCTCCTCCCACCTTTGCCGGCTCCTACTGTTGGAGTCTTCTTGTTAGCGTGTCGCGCCGCCGGGTTTGTCCCATCACGCTTCGGCGCGACATGCTAACTACTTCCCAGTCCCTGAAGGTCAACTCCCCAAGCTCTTCCCAGCCTCCCGTGCCACGAAGCCGAGAGCGACACGCTGCGCAAAAGAGGAGGAGGAGGAGGAGGAGGAGGAGGAGGAGGAGGAGATTCCCGAGCGCACTGGGCGACGTGACGGAGGAGGACGAGGAGGAGGAGGAGGAGGAGGTTCCCGAGCGCACTGGGCGACGTGACGGAGGAGGAGGAGGACGAGGAGGAGGAGGAGGAGGAGGAGAAGGAGGAGCAGGAGGAGGAGCAGGAGGAGGAGGAGGCGCGCGACGTGTCCCGCCTGGGCGAGAGCCAGGTGTGCTCTGCGTGGCCGCGCGTGCTCCGGGCGCTCGGCCCTTCGCGTGGCAGCGGCTGCTCGTGCCCTCCGGCGATCGGCTTCCGCGGGCTCCGCGCTCGGGAGCCCAGCCGTGCCAGCTGCCAGCGTCCCCTCGGTCTTGGCTTGCGATGTTCCAACTCCTCCTCCTCCTCCTCCTCCTCCTCCTCCTCCTCCTCCTCCTCCTCGTCCTCCTCCTCCCCCTCCTCCTCCTCCTCCCCCTCCTCCTCCTCCTCCTCCTCCTCCTCCTCCTCCTCCTCCTCCTCCTCCCTCCCCGATGCGCCCCGATATCCGCCTCCAGTCGAGGCTCGCCCAATGCTCCGAGCCTCGCCATTGGCCTCGATCGCCAAAAAGAGTCTCGAGCATCCTGGAAGTGCCGAAGCGTGAGGGTTTTCACGTGTCGGGCCATGTGAGACACTCGTTCGACACGCCGTGTCGAGACTGTTCTGGCACTTTTTTCGACACTCTTGCGGGTGCTCGAAATTATTTTTGGGATGTGGTCTTTAAGTCTTTAAGTACGATGGGAGCGACATAAGTCCTGGCATCGCGGGGACTTCTATGTTTTCTCTTTGCAGGGAGCATCCAGGAGCGTTTTGGACATCCGGCGGAACAGAAAACAACATTCACGCAACCGAGCATTGCGATGGATGCCCGGGCGATGGCGAGTTGTAGGGTCTCGGGCTTAGAGAACAGGCAAGGAAAGACACACAGCATAAGCATAATTGTTCGACGCTCCGCCTGGATGTCTTGGATCGGCGCTGGGCCCCCCTGGCAGCGCCTCCGGCGCCGCCCTTGCCTCGCTCCGCGCGCCAGCGAGGGGAGGTGTCCAGCGCCGATCCAAGAAATCCGCGTGGATCTCCGAAAGTTGACGCTCAGACGGCAAGTTGCTCCTCTGAGGGCAGAGGGGATGGTGGTCTCACGTGAGGCGCTCCAGGAAGGGCCGTGCCCTCGAAGGACAAAGGAGCGGGCATCTCCTCCGCGGCGGAAGGCCAGCCAGTGGCGGCAGAAGTGAAGCGAGGGCGTCCCCGCCGCGGCGGAAGGCCGGAGTAAACGATGCGCCCCCGAAGCGATGGCAAGGTGTTTTGCTAGCCCGCCGCGTGGCTCGGGTAGAGATGCAGCGTGCCACCCGTGGGCGCCTCTCCCCTCCTCGGCCCCAAGGGGGAGACGACAGGAGCACGGCCGCCGCCGAGAACCCCTCGGGGGGGGAGGGGGGGGGGAGCCGCCCCAAGGGCGGCGGCACGCCCGAGCGCCGCCCCACACTGGGTGACGCCCAGGCGTGCCACCGCCCCGGGGGTGGGTCCCCCACAATGGGCTCTCGGTGGCGGTGGTCTCTCTCTCCGATCCCTGCTGCAACCATTTTTAGCTTCGAGCTCTCCTGGTGCCCAGGCCGCGCTCATAGCACCGAGGAGTGGCGGACGGTGGCGCGGGCGCGCCGCTGCTCATGTGATGCGGGTACAACATACTCTCCCCGCTGCTCATGTGATGCGGGTACAACATACTCTCTCTCTCTCTCATGCGGTAGCGATCCAGTGTGCCACCTGTGGGCGCCTCTCCTCGCCTCGATCAGCACCCACGCGCGCGTCCATTCTGAAGCCCTTCCTGCCTCCTCTGCACCCCGGCGCGGGTCCCTTAGAGAGGCCTGGGGGCCCGAATCCTGCTCGAGACGTGCGCTCCCCGATCTCTCAGACCCCTGCGCCGGGGATAGTTGGAGCGTGTTTCTGTGTTGCTTGGGGCACAATGGGCATTATAGCCCCCGACCCCACCTCCCCCCCCCATATCGTAACGCCCCTCCCCCCCAGTGAGTGCGCTCCGGGCACTGCCGCCGTGCGCATCGGGCACACGGCGGGGGGGAGGCGTTACATTATACCCCCTCCCTGGCCCCCCCTCCCCCCCGCCCCCTCATAATGCTTATTCTATCGCCGAAAATGGAGGAACGCGCTTCTGTTCATTCAGAGCTGTGTGTCTTTTGTTATTGTCCCGGGGCCGAAACGGAAATTGGCTTCCAGAAGGCCAACCTTGCGAAAAACCAGCAGTCTCGATCTTTGCGGGCCGCTTGATCTCTGGGAACGCTTTCGGCCACGCGCTGGCAGGGGTATGCCCCTGCTTCTTAGCAGGCGCGGGCCATGTGTGTAGATGCAGGGCCCGCGCCTTCTAAGAAGCAGCCTCCTTCTAAGAAGCCTCCCCCCCTCCCCCATGCCCCCCTTTCTGCGCGCCGCCGACGACGCCAGGCAGTCTCCGAGTGGTCGATCTCTCAGAGGCGACGATCGGGGAGAAAAGCCCAGGGGAGAGCAAAACCGGTGCGCCGCTGATCGATGTCTTCGAAAATGCTCCCGGGCGAGCACGTGTAATGGAGGATGGCGATTGATAAGTGACGGGGGGTCGTGTTCACGCGGCTGCGCCCGGGATGACGATTAGAAAAAACCGGCCGCGGGCTGGAAACCTATTTTTTGATCGTTCTCCTCCCGTCAGAAAATCATGCAGCAATAGCAAAAAACTGTTTACTGTTCTCGTCCAATTTTTGTATAGGTCGTCATCCCGCACTATTCGCCCCTTATCGTCGCCGCCGAGTCTTGGCGGGATTCGGAGGGCGGGGCGAGGGTGCCGCGGAGCCGCGGCCGCTCTGCCTGGCTGTGAGTGGTGGAGGAGCTCGCGACAGTTAGGTCGGGCGCGTCCCCCCCCACAGGGGGATGCGAACGAAAATAGTCAACAAATGACCCCCAAATGGGCAAAAAAACATTCAAAAACTCGTCCCCTGATTTTTTCCCATTTTTGGATTTTCCCCCTGTAGGGGTACAGGCCCGACTTACGCCTGGCTCTGAATGGTGGAGGAGCTCGCGACAGAGAGAAAGAGAGAGAGAGAGAGAAAGAGGTGTTCAGGTCGGGGGCGGAAGAAAGACGCACGGTACTTTGGACGGTTTCAGGTGTCGTATCAAGGGAGGGTGATTCGCATTCTGCCCGAGCCTTCCCAAGCTCGCCCCCCTCCGCCCTCCCCCTCCCCCCCCTCCTCCTCCTCCTCCTCCTCCTCCTCCTCCTCCTCCTCCTCCTCCTCCTCCTCCTCCTCCTCCTCCTCCTCCTCCTCCTCCCTCCTCCTCCTCCACCCTCCACCCGTGCCGACAGCACGTGCCCACCCACCCCCCAGCGGATCCAATGGAGAGGAGGAGGAGGAAGGAGGAGGAGGAGGAGGAGAGGAATGGAGGAGGAGGAGGAGGAGGAGGAGGAGGAGGAGGAGGAGGAGGAGGAGGAGGAGGAGGAGGAGTCCAAGGGGGGGGCGATTGCTGTCCCACCCGGGACTTGGCTCGTGTCGACGCGCCGCGGCCCCGCCGCGAGCGTGCCAAAGGTTGAGAGCGCCGCCGGTGGCCCAGCATCGGCCCATTACGGAAAGGTCCGGCGACGGGAGGGCCTCAGGAGGGAAAGAAACACACAGACACAATTAATCGTCGACTCCCAGGAAACTATGCAAAAATATGGGAAGACAAAAACCCCGAAAATATGGGAAGATATGGGGGATATGTTTATTTGTGTGTATTTATTTGTGTGTTCCAGTTCCCCTTCAGAGCCGCCGGTCGTTCAAGGTGGAACGGCCCTCGGGAGCCCTGAGACGGGGGTTATAATGCAAACGAGGGTCAGCCAGAGCGCCCGATCCTGCAGGATCCGACAGGGCCAGGGTCGCATTGACCTGGGCTTGGGCGCAGGATCCCCCAGGATCTTTCAGGATCCTTCGCATTGACCCGGGCTCGGGTGCAGGATCCAGCAGGATGTTGCCTGATTCTGCAAGGCCTGACTGACCCGGGTTTGGATTGACCCGCGTCAGAAGATCCCCGATATCCACGCGGTGTCAGAAGCCAGCGCGTAGGTTGTCACGACACGAATCCGCCATTCACGTACATTTAGGTTTGGCTACAGAGGGGGATCTTGGACGGAGAATCAAACATATTCAAAGGATATGCCAAGAGAGACAAAGATGGTAAGACAATCGTCCCGATATTATGTTTGGACAGTTTTTTGAATATTCCTCCTGTAGAGGGACATGCGACTTAAACGTACATGAATCCACGTTGGCGTCGGGAGTACGCATCGCGCGAGCGTTCGTGGCACGAGGCTGGCCTCGTAGACTGAGGGGGCGTCGTCTTCGTGTACGCGGCTGGGCGCATGCGTCCTTTCTGTGGGTTCCTCAACAGATAGAGGTGCCTTCAGTTAAGTCGGGCGTGTCCCTCTACAGGAAGAAAATTCAAACATCATAGTGAGGGGGACTGAACCGAATGGTCATTCGCTGTCCTTGGGTGCGTGGCTGAAGTGGAATTCCGCGAGGCTGATTATCGTTGTTGTGGTTGTTGTTG